AAACTGATTTCCAAAGAGTTGTAGTATTTCATTCCCTCAGTAGTGGATGACAGGATGTGCCTTCCCAGCACTGAATATCACCTAAAAATTATGCATACATGCACACATGCCGCATGTGCGTGCGCGCATGCACACACAGTCACACACACACACACACACACACACACACAAAAGTAACTTGGTGTACTAGTTTTCTATCGCTCTTATAACAAAGTATCACACACTCAGTAGCTTTAAAACAACACTAATTTACTGTATTACAGTTCTATAAATCAGAAGTCCAACACAGGTCTCACTGGGCTAAAATCAAGGTGTCGGCATGGCTGTGTTCCCTTCTAGAGGGAAGACATTACAAAACGGTTCTAGAAAAGTTTATGATTGCAGATGCCTAAAGCAATCCTCAGGTCCCCCAATCAGCACCAGGCAGACAGGGAAATGCAAAGCTGTGTAGCCCTCACAAAGAGCATTTCTTTCCAACATTCGCAGGCATGGACAATGAGGATGCTGGGCAAAAAAAGAGCCTTGCAGAGGACAAAGCCAAAGCCACAAACAACAATCAAAGGAAATACTCCCAGAGAGCCACAAAGACTCCGCAGAAACCAGAAATCCCGGAATTTGAGTTAGATGCAATAATTGAACCTTCGAGGAACTTGTTAAAATTATTGATTTGGGATTCACTCCAGAGACTAACTGAGTAGGACTAGAGTGAGGCCCAAGAATCCGTATTTTTAATAAGCATGTACCATAGTCTATGAACCATACTTATAAAAAATATTGACCCAGGGGAATATGAGTCTTACGTAAAAACAGAGAAGAGTCTTAGTTCTCAAATCTACCAATTGTTCATTTTTACATCAAAAGGTTTCTCTTTCTGTACTAGGGAAATTTACATATAACCCTTACCTTTCCTTCTCTTATTTTCATTATTGAAGCTCTAATTATTTCACTTAACTGGTGTTCTCAAAAAGATAATATATGCAAAAGTAAAAATATTCCAAAGACTAGAAAAGAGTATAAAATAAAAGTAAATCTCTTTTCCATCTAGACTTCTAGTTCCCTAAGCCTCCTCCCACGAAATAACCAAAAGTAATAGTTTCTTTTAGAAATAGTCCTTGCCAAACAATGGCATATACACTGAGTGGCCAGATTATTATGACCACCTGACGTTTGTAGGCAAATTAGCTATAATTTCGCACTGAAGTTGCTAGAGGGCCAGACCATTATAAATAGGGAAGCAGGTTGTTTACCACGACAGTAGAAGTGATATTTTTCTGAAGATATGGGTAAACTCGTTTTCTTACCTCCTTATCTAATCCATCAGCAAATCCTTCAAAACATAATCAGAATTTGTTCACTTCTAGCCTGGCCGGTATGGCTCAGTGGTTGAGCATCAACCTATAAATCAGGAGGCCACGGTTTGATTCCCTGTCAGCGTACACGCCTGGGTTGCAGGCTTGATCCCCAGTATCAAGAAGTGTGCAGGAGGCAGCCAATCAATGACTCTTTCTCGTCATTGATGTTTCTATCTCTCGCTCCCTCTCCCTTCTTCTCTGACATCAATAAAAATATACTAAAAAAAAGAAAGAATTTGACCACTTCTCACCACCACCATTGCTACCACTATGGCCCAAGCTACCATTGTCTCTTACCTAGTTTATAGCACTGGTTTCCTAATAGGTCTCCTTACTCCTGCCTTGACCTCCAGCTTCAGTCTATTCTAAGTAAAGCAGAATATGACTCTGGTTCTCATTGGCTCAAAACTTCCAGTGGTTTCCTAGCTCACCCTCCCACCACCATGCATAACTGCGCTGGTCTCATTTCCTATTATTCTTCCCATGAAGTCTCTCACTCGATTCCAGCCATATCTCCCTGCCAAGCCATGTCGTTCCCTTCCCACCCATTCCCCTTGTTATTCTCTCTGCTCAGAATTCTTGTCCCCTAGATAATGCATCATTCCGTCCTAGGTTTTTATCCAAAAAAGTGAACTTCCCAATGAGGTTTTTTTCATTATTTATGAAATGTTACCATCCTTCCCCTGACATTTCAAATCTTTCTTTCTTATTTTACTTTTTTCTCCATAGCACATACTACATATTTTACTTACTTACCTAGTTTATTGCCAGCCTCCCCAACTGGAATGTAAACTCCATGAGGCAGGGATTTGTCTACTGTGTTCCATGCTGTATCCCCCACGCCCAGAACACATAATAGGAGCTCAGTTAACTTTGTTCAATAAATGAACTAATAAGTAAATAAACAAACAAAAGAATGACTCCAGCTTGGGCTCTTGCTGCATCTTTTCTGGTCTCCTGCCGGCAGGCTCTGTAATTAATCCTACACACCTCACATCAGTAGTTGACCTCACATGGGTCTGACTCTATTGCTGCTCTGGTTAAGAACCTAAGTGGCTTGCAACTGTCCTATGAGGAAAATACAGCTCTATAGGGTGGCATCAAGATCCTGCATAATCTGGATACTCTTTTCTGAACTCATCTCTTTACATTCCATTCTTATACCTTATTCTATAGACCAGTGTCTCCCCAAATCGAGTACTTTATGGGTCCTTTATAAAGGGAAAAAATTCTTAATGGCTTACAAGGTCACATCTAAGGCCCCCACTTAAGAAACACTAATTTAAGAAATTGAAGTTCAGATCAATAAAAATCTTTTTAAAATATGGATTGTTACTGATAAAATAATTCTTAATACAGTATTATAACCAAAAGGAAAACAAACATTTTAAATCTTCGTATACTTTACACTCTCTGAGAATAAACCCATGGACCCCAGTGACAGAAATGAAACTACCTACCCAGCCCAGAAGAGGCCTACACTTACCTGCCTCCATGCCTTTGTTCCTAATGTTCCACTATCCCAGAATATCCTTCCCCTGACAATAGTTATCAGAATTCTACTCATCCTTCAATACCTAGTTTAATTATCAGCTCCTTCACAAACTCTTCTTCTTCATACCCTCAGACAAAACTTCTCAGTCTCTCAGAGCAATTTTAACCTCTTCTATGACATTAACTACATCATTCTTCCTTATGTTACACTATTATTTTCCTGTGGTTATTACAGCACCTGGATAGCATGAAGATGAACTTGTTCTCTTAACATAACTAGTATAATGTCTTCCATATAACAACTAATAAATGTATACTGAATTAATCATTATATAGGGGGGAAATAAATGCTACTATAAATATGACCTTCTATTTATCATCTTAAAAATAGAACTGTTCACTAAAAGTTTATAAGCAAACATGCATAACATACTCATAACAAAAGAAAAATTGGGAAAAAATTTTAAGTTATTTATAGGAGTTACCTTCGTTTAAGCACTAAGTCTGATATAGGTATGCATCTTAGACCAGTTCCCAAAACCATGAGGAAGGATGTCAGAAGCACAGTTATCCGAAGACCTAAAAGGAAACAAAAACATCCGGGTTATTTTCTATTTTCTCTTCAAGTAAGTCCAGTGTTAAGAACAAAGATTTTTTTACTCAATCATAATAATGTTATAACCTAATATTATAGCTTTCCCCCATAATACCCAACATGCAAAAAAGACCTCTACATGCTGAAAATGAAATTTTTATAACTTTAATAGAAAATTTAATGATCACATCAAGGATAAAAGAAGTTCCATTAGCTCTGGTTTTTTCAAAATAAATGGCTATAATGTTTTGTTCATATGGAACACTAAAAATATAGAAAATTTTTTTAAAAAGACTAGGTATTTTAGTTTTATATCTCCAATATAAAATTTCTAATTTTCAAATGCAAACTGCAAAAACTCTAAACTTTCACTAAAATATATATATTTTTAAAGAGTGGTAGTTTTAACTTTAAAAAAATTTTTTTTATTGATTTCAGAGAGGGAGGGAGAGGGAAAGAGAGATAGAAACATCTATGATGAGAGAGAATCATTGACAGGCTGCCTCCTGCATGCCCCCAACTGGGGACTGAGCCTGCAACCTGGGCATGTGCCCATGACCGGAATCAAATCCGGGACCCTTCGGTCCACAGGCCAACACTCTATGCACTGAGCCAAATTGGCCAGGGCGCTAAAATATTTTTTAATGTGATACATTATTGTTTTAAATTTTCTCCAAAAATGACAATTGGATACTTACGTATTTTATAGTATAAATCAGGATAAGCTAATGCTTGTTATAGGGTCATGGGGGTGATCTTTAGAATCCTTTGATTAGTAGTAACACAATAATGGTCTTTCTTTTTATTTTTCTTGATTTATCAAATGGCTTTCCAACTTACAGAAAGATGTTGTTTTAAAAAGAAAACATAGCTTAGGACTTTAGAAGACAATTTAGGTCAGATAGCTTTCCCTTTTGTATCCCAATATGATCAATTATTTTTAAAATGTTTGCCTCTGGTAGGTCACATAGATAATAGGAAGGAGAGAATATAAACAGAAGGTACCAAAAAATAGACACAATAATCTAAGTAATAAAGTGGGACTATATCATCTTACTATTGGAAAGCTGCTGTTGCTTCTAAACGAATGCCACCTTCTTGTTTGCAGCAGCCACATCACACAGTGGCTCATAGTGAGCATGTGGCAGAGGTGGCAAAAGTTCTTACAATTTCTCCCAAACTCAACACCTCTTTGAAACCATTTCACAATGAGTAGACAAATTGTTTAACGGAAATTTTTCTCTTTTTCAGATCTTTCTCATTTTTTGGCAAAGGGGAGATGGTTAAATGTTTGGTTTCCAAAGGGCTTCTCTGCTTGAAGAAAACTGAAAATCAACAAAACTATAATTATTCAGATTAAACATAATGAAGAAAATAAACTTGATATCCAGATCAGGCACACGTAGACACTACATTGAGGACAATTTGTGATATGAACGTTATAATATTCTTATATGAGCTGAACATGATTAATGCAATTTGGCAGAAGGAATAGCACAGAAAATTGTGCTTCTCAGTAACAAGCAATGCATACACATTGCTCATTTACTGCTTCTACTAACAGAACACATATTTTAAAACCACATTATCGTCCTGGCTGGTGTGGCTCAGTTGGTTAAGTGTCGTCACATGCACCAAAAGGATGCTGGTTGGATTCCTAGTTAGGGCACATGCCAGGTTTGTGGGCCCAGTCCCCAGTAGGGGATGTGCAGGAGTCAGCTGATCAATGTTTCTCTCTCTCTCTCTCTCTCTCTCTCTCTCTCCTCTCCTCTCTCTCTCTCTCTCTCTCTCTCTCTCTCTCTCTCTTCTCTCTCTCTCTCTCTCTCCCTCCCTCCCTCCCTCCCTCCCTCCCTCTCCCTTTAAAAAACATTACATTAGAGCCACAGGAAATAGAATGCAATTAATAGAAAGTACATTTATGATCATACATATCCTAAACTTTCAAAATGGGTGCCCTATGAGATCCTGAATAAGATTTTTCAGATTTGGGACTATAAGGCTTACATTCTACATGATATTTATTTTTCCCTTAACTATTTGATTTGTAAGTGAGCAGTAGAGCATTGGTTATGGCAATATGGCCCAAATAACCAGGTTCCCTATTATTTCTGTTCAAGGCTAGCACACGTTTCTACTCAAGTATGCTTTTAATCAAACCAATGATAATATAACAGCTAATACAAACATTTAAGAATAAAGAGTTGTCAAAATCTAATTATGAAAGCAACCTCGCAAGTACAGCTTGTGGCTTTCTTGCTTATTTTTAATTGTTGCTAAGTATTACTTAATCCACCCCAGCTGATGCTCAATTTTGAAAAGAATGCTTTCTTCACCTCATTCAAATCTTGACAAGGCAGGATTCTATAACTGCATGTAATCAAAAAGATATCAAGAGGACCCCAGGAAAACAGGCTGAAGAGACATCTAACACCTTTAAATAACTAGATCCCAAGTGATTACAGTAATACTAGGACATGAGTGCAAAAACCATTTGATGAAAGGTATGAGAACGATTTTGGAAAACATGACTGAAAATAAAAATAAGTTCCATTCCAATGTGGAATCCAGACACGGCAGGAAGCTTCCTTCCAGTAGAGGAGATAACTCCTTTTTTGCTGGGCATCTATTTAGTACAGGAATGGAGTCTCTACATCAGGTGCCTGGGAAAGAAAGCAGTTATGGCCTCAACGTTTATCTGGAAAGACTACTCTTTCCAGCCTCCACGCTTCTATCAGCTGGAGTGAAGGCAAGCCTTGTTTTGCTCCTCGCAAGACCTCTAGCCTCCCTGTCCCCAACAGTCACAGCCAGGCCAGCACAATCTGTCTTAGAGCCCATCAGGACTAATTACATTGTGCCTATTATTCCTGTTTGCATTAGTCAACAGAGATCCCATGATGGGATCCAAGCCATATCCCAGTATGGCTTCATATACTCCCTAATCTAACCTCACCTGCCATCTCCCCAACTCCTTCCTGAAACCTTTCCACTGTGCCTGCCTTCTGAGGTACTCAGAATCAGTGGGTCAGTGGAATCCCTATATCCTCAAGCTCTTCTCTAAATATTCTCTTCACCTTCTTACTCCCACTGAAACCTCTCTCCTGAGAAAATTGTTTCCCCAGCCACTTGTAGCTCACTGTTACTCTCTCATCCCTTAAGCTTCCTAATCTCTTTTCTCTCAATGCTTTTAAGGTTTCCCCTGGTTTTAGGCAAACTGATTATGATGTGTGTTGGTATAGTTTTCTTCATGTTTCTTCTGCTGGGATTTTTTTAATTTCTTAGATTTGTGGATATCAAATTTGGTAATATTTCTACCATTATTTCTTTATTCCATTCCCCAATCCCACGCGCACACGCGCGTGAGCACACACACACCTCATTTCACTCTATACCCTTTCCCATTACTTCTCACTTCTTCTTCTGGGATTCTAATTACATGCAAATTATTAGGCTACTTAAAACTGTCCTGCAGCCCACTGATGTTTGTTGGGGTTTTTGTAATTTTTAGCCTTTTATTCTCTGTGTTCCAGTTTGGATAGCACTTATTGCTGTCTTCAAGTTCACTTACCGTATCTTCTGAAACATCTAATCTGCTCTTAAATCCTGAAGAGTATATTTTTTGGTTTCAGACATAGATCACATTTTCATTTCTAGAAGTTTAATGTTAGTCTTTTGTTTCTGTGTCTCTCCTTGCTTTCTTCTATCTTCTTGAACATATGTAGTATATTTAAACTAGTTGTTCTGATGTCCCTGTCTACAAATTCTATTATCTGTGACATTTCTGGGTCTGTTTCTATTAATTGATTTTTCTCATCTTTATGAGTTGAATTTTCCTGCTTCTTTGCATGTTTGGTAATTTCTGATTTGGATGTCGGGTATTCTGATTTTTACCTTCTTTGCTATGATTTTGTTTTTATTCCTTTAAATATATTTGAACAATGTTCTGAGATACAGTTATCTTTGATCTTTTAAGGTATACTAGTTGGAACCAGAACATCCTTTAGTCTAGGAATCATCTATCTTTACTACTGAGGCAATGCCCTTCTGAGTATTCAACCCAACCTCCTATGTATTATAAGCTTTTTCCATTATGGCTGTCGGGAAAGTGAACTATTCCCAGCCTTGTATAAACTTTGAGAATTGTTCCGCCTGCTCCTTTTTGGTGGTCCTTTCTCCAGACTTAGTTTCCTTACAACTATCTACTGACCAGTAGATAGCTGAAGACTCAAGAGGAACTCCCTGTAGATCTAGACCTCGATCTCTATGAAGCTTTCCCCTCTCTGGTAATCTACACTAAGAATTCTAGCTATGTTGGACTCTTTGAATCCTCAATTGTCTCCTCAACTTTAGAAAACCGCAGCTTCCCTAGCTGGTTTGGCTCAGTGGATAGAAAGTCAGCCTGAGGACTGAGGGGTCCCAGGTTCAATTCCGGTCAAGGGCACATGCTGGGGTCGCAGGCTGATCCCCAGTAAGGGGAGTGCAGGAGGCAGCTGATCAATGGTTCTCTCTCATCATTGATGTTTCAATCTCTCTTTCACTCTCCCTTCCTCTCTGAAATCAATAATAAATGAATTAATTAATGAGTGAAAACTGCAGGGCTCTGTTTGGCTTGCCAGCTCTTCAGTGTTGCTTGGAAATTCTCTCCAGGTAGTAAGCTGAAGCAACCACATGAATCACTGTCCTGCTCTGCTGGTTGCTCAATGTCTAAAAACCAGCTTCATATACTTTGATTTTGTTTTTAGTTGTTTAAGGTGGATAGAAAGTCAGCCTGAGGACTGGTTGCTCAATGTCTAAAATGAAAAGGGGTGAAGGAGTACAAAACCAACCTCAGGAAGAGAAACAGTCTTCTACACTAAGCTGGCTGTGACCCATGGCAGCAGGAAGGCCAGATAACTCCCTCTACCTTCTAGGAAGAAAGGTACTGTAGAACCCAACAACAGCACGGACTCACTTTCAATGTGTGCAGATAGACTATCTGCAGCAGGACAACCAACATATAAACGTTTATTAGCCTTCTCCTACTGAAAAGGAAAACCACTTCTTAAAAGAGAGAATTTTTAAATCTATTTTTTATTGCTTCAACCAACTGAAAACATAAAATTGAATTCACTACATATTCATGGGAACTCTGAAACAACTCTTAAAGTAACATGTTTTATGAAGCAAATAGGTAGTCCCTAATTTATCTGGCCAGAGATAGCAGGTAGAATTATAATCATAAGGGTGAAAATGAACATTTCTCCACCATAAAAACAAGGCTGGCTAAATTTAGTGAACAATATTGAAAATTGCTCCTGATAAAAAGAAACAACAAAAGAGCTTTCCCTCTAAAGTTAGCCAACCTTGTAAGAAATGACTGAGGAATTGTCACAGATTGGAGGAGGTTAAGGAGAAATAACAACTAAACACAATTTGCATGGGGGGGAGAGGGGAAAAGACAGTGGAAAACTAGTGAAATCTAAACAAAGTCTATAATTTAGTTTAAAAGCAAACAAAACAAACAAAAAGAAAAGAAAAGAAGAGAAAAGAACACCTCCTCCTGGCTCTTGTGCTTCAGTGGTTGAGCATCGACCTATGAACCAGGAAGTCAGAGTTTGATTCCTGGTCAGGGCACATGCCTGGGTTGCAGGCTCCATCCCCAGTGTGGGGCATGCAGGAAGAAGCCGATTAATGATTATCTCTCATCATTGATGTTTCCATCTCTCTCTCCCTTTCCCTTCCTCTCTGAAATCAATAAAATTTTTTTAAAAAGAAAAGAAAACCTCCATTCAGTACAAAAACCCTATCTCAGCACCTAGTGCACACCTTCTGCATAAGTACCTGCTCTACCTGGAGGTGCCACGCCAACCAAGACACACCTTCCAGGGCTGGGCACCTTTCATTGTTAGAAGGTTCTTCCTCATGTGGCTTCTCCCTTTGTAACTTCACTCAGTTTAGTTCTTCCTTCTAGACCCACGCACATTAAGTCTAATTCCTCTTTCACTTGATCTCCACATATTTTATATTCTGCCTCAAGTTTCTTTTTGAAGCCTGACACACCCAGTTCCCTTCATGTTACACATTATGATTTTTACATCCTTGATTATCCTTGCCACACCACTTCTAAGGTACTCCAGCTTGTCAACAGCCTTCTTAAAATTAGTGTTCAGAACTGAACATTGGAGTAGAGCCTATCCAATTTTTTTTCTCTTCTTGTTTTTGACACTATGCTCTCTGCCTAAAATCGCCTGCCCTTTTTCAGCAGCTCTGTCACATCTGTCATGAATCATTTGCTTGTACTTGTGTGGTAAAAATCAATGCCTTATCATTCAATCCTATAACCTTTCCTTCCTCCTCAAAGAATCATACTGGCAAGTGGTAAAGAGAGATATCTGACCAGAGTATTCTTCTGTGAAGAGAGAGACTCGATTATCTGCAAGTTTTATCTGAGAATTAAAAATCTCAACTGACACAGCCACCTAGCCACATTCACACACTTAAAAGCTGCGGTGCATCAGTTCCCAGAAACCAGAGTCAGATCCGGAGTTTCCCAACAGCTCTTCCTGGGCTGGAGTCATCTGTTAGGCAAAGCCAGCTCATTACTTCCTTAAATCTGGGCATCACCTATTTTCTGACCTTTCACCCTCAACATCCCCAAGTTCCCATGAAGTCAAAGCATCAGTCATTTTTGTGAGGGGTAAGAAAACATACGCAGCACGTGCACGGGAATGCTCTGAGGTCCGCAATATGCAAAAACGTGAACGTTCGGAGAACGCTTTATCTCTGCTGTTGCATAATGAGCCTTGATTAAAACAACAACAACAAAAACAACAACCAATAATAATAGCTGCAAAGATGCCTTCCCGTAGCTGCTGCTTTGGGCCCAGAGGATTCCTAGACAGGAATGGGATGCCTGCGACACTCCCGTCACCTCTGACAACCTCCAAGACGAAACCGAGAAGGAGGCCCCCCCCCTCCGCCCCCCGGGAGTGCCCAGCGCGGGCGGGTGTTCCCCGGAGCCCCTCACCTCTCTTGTCCAGGAGCCACATGCCCCGCGAAGCAGGGCAGGAAGCCGATGGGCCCCCACA